GACCAGGTTTTCTCCAAAATGCCCTCCAGTTGTCTACAAACCCTACATTGTTTTCAGAGCACCATCTGGACGCCCAGCGGTTAAAAGCCGACATACGGTTAAACATGTCATTGCTGGTCAGGTTGGGGAGGGGGCCGGAGAAAACTATGGCGTCAGACATGGTTTTTGTGAAGTTACACACTGAAGCAACATTAATTTTAGTGATCTCTGATAGCCGAGTGTCATTTTCGCCGACGTGAATAATGATTTTACTGTATTTCACTTTAGCTTTAGCCAGTAGCTTCAGGTGGGATTCAGTGTCGCCTGCTCTGGCCCCTGGAATGCATTTGACTGTGGTTTGAGTCACAGGTGCCACGTTTTGAACTATGGAGCTGCCAACAACGAGAGTGTGCTCCTCGGTGGGCGTCTCCCTAAGCACAGAAAACCGATTTGAAAGTTGAACGGGCCGGTGGTTGACCGAGGGCTTAGTTTTAGTATTATTTTTTCTTTGGATCATCACCCAGCGGGCCTGTGATTTAGGACAGCTAAGTGGAGTAAACTGATTTGAAAAGAATCAGAAAAAGATTACAGAAATTTTCCTCACTGTTAGATAATCAGTGGAATACAGTGAAGACATTCATGAAGAAAAGCTAAAAATGAACAGTGACACTACAGTAGACTGAACAGTTCTCTGAATTCGTGAAAAGATTAACTAAAGTCCTGCAGCAACACTTAAGGAGCTGCGGGAGATTTAGACAAGTCCTGTTTGTGTACTTCATGTGACAACAATCTGTTTATACATAAGGATTTTGGGGTCTTTTTTTAAGTAAAACTTCAAGGCCCAACTAAACCATTTTCCAAGAATACATGTCATAATTCTCAAAAGCTTGTTGGAAAATGTATTCTGGTCTGTTGAAACTGATTTTGACTTTTCGGTTTGGGAACAAGATTGTAAAGAAAAAATCAACCCTGCTGAAATGTGGTGGCAGCATCACAGTTTGGGATTTCTTTTCTCAAGGTTCAAGGATTCAAGGATTCAAGGTTCTTTATTTGTCATTCGCACCCCATGTGGTACATGTGATGGAACGAAATTATGTACACAGGGTCCCAGTTACATCCAACAATAAAAAGTAAAAGAAAAACAGTAATAAGATCTAAGATATGAACTAAGAAAAACATCAACTAAAAACACACTAAGCACTACTAGCATAAAAACATAACGTCGAACAGCAGCACGAACATGAGTCTGTGTGAGCAGATGAACACGAATGAACACATCAACATGAAACAGATCAGCAGCAACATGATGTGATTTTTCACAGTGATTGTCCTGGTTAGAGATTTCTGAATCTAACATCTTCAGGGTAGAAGCTGTTCCTCAGTCTAGTGGTTTTACACTTAATGCTCCTCAACCTCCTTCCTGAGGGGAGTGGGGCAAAAATGTGTGTGCTGGGTGAGTGGGGTCCTTCATGATGCAGGTGACCCTCTTCCTGCATCTGGAGGTGTAAATGTCTGTGATGGTGGGGAGACTGACTCCAACAGTTACCAAGTCAAGGTGTCACTTGCTGATCAACTCCTAGGAAAAATAAATAGTGTAAATAAATCAGAAGGTCCATCCCAGTGGAGTAAACTGATTTGAAAAGAATCAGAAAAAGATTACAGAAATTTTCCTCACTGTTAGATAATCAGTGGAATACAGTGAAGACATTCATGAAGAAAAGCTAAAAATGAGTCTGCATTTTTGTAGTGGATTGGACACAGCTGAAGCCACAGACCGCAAATGTCCAACATCCAACGTAAAATGAACTTTACCATGGTCGGTCTGTATACTGTGCTTAGAGACCAAAATACACTAGTTAGTACAATGTAATGGTCAATTTATTTTTAAGCATTTATTGAACAAATTCAAAATTTATCTGATGCTTATATTTGAATAAATGAACAACAAACTTTGTACAACAGTTGGCTTTGTATTAAAAACATTTTATAGAATTTATAAAACAGTATCAAAGCAAAACATGTTCAAGTATTAAGTAGTAAGTACAGAAGTATTAATTATTCAATAATTCGCTGGATACGCGAATGTAATAAACAAGAGACAGATTGTTACGGAAGCATTTAACATATTAATGACGCATGCCTAATGATATGTCATGTATGACTGGGCACTTTCAAGTGGTTATACTGAAATTTTCAAGCTTTTCTAGTGGGTATACTCTGTATGCCCACGTGTCACTTGTCTAAATAAAGGTTGATTGATTGATCACTTACACTACACCACTTCTCCATCCCATCCTATCACCTTTCGCTCTGCAGCATCTTGAGCAGAGAGGTCCAGACATTTCTTTCCACAGTCTCCTCTTCCGGCTCTCAGGGATTCCTAGGCCAGCTGAGAAATTCTTTCCATCAAGTCCTGGGTCTTCCCCAGGGTCTCCTCTCCTCTCAGTCAGACATACCCCAAGCACCTCCCTAGGGAGGGCATCTTTACCAGATGCTCAAACTACCTCAGTTGGCTCTTCTCTATTTGGAGAAGCAGCATCTCTACTCAGTCTATCTTGGATAATTGAATTCCTCACCTTATTTCTAAGAGAGTCCAGCTACCCTGCAGTGAAAATTCATTTGGACCACCTGTATCCATGATCTTGTTCTTCCTCTTCCCTACAACAGACCAGCACAGAGTCCAAAAAACTGCAGCAGCTGCACCGATCCATCTGCCAATCTCACGCTCCATTCTTCCCTCACTCATGAATGAATCCAGAGAGATTCGACCATCGATTGGACTCGCTTCTCCAGCACCGTAAATTAAAATGTGCCTAAACAAATTATTAGTTGTACATTTATACAACCAGCTTCTTGCATCCATTTTTTCAAAATAAATTTCCCTGCAAATATTTTTTTCAGTTGAATTGTAAGTCAAAGGAAAGACGAAAGAAGTTTTGAATCATTTTATCATGGTTTTATTGTTTTACATCACGTAAACCTGTCATGTTAACAAGTGTGTGTGTGGACTTTTCATAGCCTCTGTCGATAAGTGGAATTGTGCCATCCAGGCCCATTCTGCACAATGCTCAGACCAAAGTTCAGCTCAGCTGCTAATTTACAAGCCAAATAGTTTTAGTGTCATTACATCTTAGTTACTTATTGCCAATTTTTGTTCACATTTTGCACATAGATACATGGTGATGAGAATTATTTTTCTGACATATGGATGATGTTAAGAGCCTTGAGTGATCTTTGTCCAGTTGGGTTTTGCAGTTTCTGAGCATATTTCTGGTCTGTTTGCAATTTTTTTGTGTTTTTGAAATATTTGAACGGTCTGATTACATTTTACAGGAAAGACCTCTAATGTTAAAGTCTATTTGGTTAGTCAGTTTTGCTATTTGTCTTTCGTTGATAAATATTTAATCAATGGGAACTCAGAAACAGGTAGCCAAGCTGGACTTCAATCTCAGATTTGTGTAAGGGGGGCTGGTTGGTCCCTGCCCAAAGGGATTGTGCAATCAGTGCATTTTATGGACCTTGCTTGACATAATGGGTCAGAATAGTCTATAACAATATGTTTTCTCAGTTTAGATAATCCAAGAGCACATATTTTCTTGCAGACATTCTGTTCAACCAGCGAACTAGTTGTTTGGGTTCAGTAACATTGAAAAGTTGGACAAACTTTACTATCAATAAATTTCAGACGTTCAAACACCTGCCAAAGCCACAAAATGTTCAGATTATATAAATGAGTGCACATTTTTTAAATTTAAATGTCTTTAATAGGAAACAGAACTATTGATGCCACATATTACAGCCAAGAGGTCCCTCGTTTTACTTCCTGTTTCTTTACCATCTACACCAAAAAAATAAAAATAAAGTAAATATGAAAAGTGCTGCACAGAGATGACATATTTATTGTGAGTTAAATTTCCTAAACTAGGCAAACATATTTTTACAACTTTATGTATATTAAGCCATAAAAACTTGGTGAACTGCACTTGTTTGATTCTTTTTAAATTTTTTTTTTTTTTATCCATTGTCCATATTAAAGCCTTCAAGTTGATTTCTGCTCAATGTTTTGGGTCATATTCTTTTTGGTTTCCTGCTGGTTTCACTGTATACCTTTTATTTATTAAATAAGCCGTTTGATCCAATAACTCTGTAAGTATTCAGATGAGTCAGCTAATCGGTAAGCTTTTTTAGCAACATATGCACAAATGAAAATTAATCACGTTTTGTATTTTTTGATAAAATAACAAATTTAAGGAGATTGATGGTTGAAATACGCTGTTTTTACTGGATTTAAGAAAAAAGTTATGAGAATACAACACGAAACTCTTAAATTTAACATTAATTTAACCTTTCACTTCTAATAGAGTGTGACAAAACCAAAGCTTTGGTGGTTGTGTGAAGCGAGACGCCTGCTTGTAACCCATCACGCCTCAGAGAAAACAAGCAGCTGGCTCAACATTAAACAGATGAGAGCTAAAATAAAACATTTCAGAGGGCGACGACAGGTGTTGCAGTAATGCAGCTGGACATCCAAAGCAGGCATAACATCAAGAAGCAGAAACCCCCCCCACAAGAAATCTAAACTGAGTGTTTCATGACAGAAGTCATGGCTGGAAATGGACAGTTCCATAACTTGTACATTTTTACATGGCTCTTATTTAAGGAGAAAAATCAAACTACACCACAAAGATCCAAGAAAACAAAGTTTATTTAATCTACAGACTTATCTAAAAACTCAGAGTATCGTTAAAAAGTGCAATTTTTTTTGTCAGTCATTTCAGAAAGTGAAACTCGTATATTACACAGATTCATTACACTTAACGTCAAATATTTCAAGCCTTTGTTTCTTGTAATTTTGATGATTATGGGTTACAAATAATGAAAAAACTAAACTCAGTGTCTCAGAAAATTAGAATATTGTGAAGAGGTTCAGTACTTTAACTCCTGGTGTCACACCCTGATCAGCTGATTAACTCCTGGACATGAGCTACAAACGTCTCATTCCTCAAGTCCTGCCACTCCTGAACCAGAGACAACATCAGAAGCATCTTACCTGCAGGAGACAAAGAACTGGCCTGTTACTCAGCGGTCTTTTCAGATTTACCTCCTAAGACCCAAACTCTTGCATATGTGGATGCCAGGTCCTAGGAGGTTAAAGTAAATGTTCATGTAATTTAGAAATCAAGGTCCCAGAGTGAGGGGGACCAGAATCCACATTGCTGGAAGTCTAGAATAAAGTTTCTACAGTCAGTGATGATTTGGGTCCATGTCCTCTGCTGGTGCTGGTCCACTGGGGTTTCTCAAGTCCACAGTCAACACAGCATCTAGCAGGACATTTTAGAGACATCATGCTTCCTTCTGCTGGTGAACTTTATGGAGAAGCTGATTTAATTTTCCAGCAGGACTTGACTCCTGCCCACAAAGATAACAAAAGCTGGCTGTGGAATATTCAATTTTTCTGAGACACTGAATTTAGTTTTTTCCTCATCTGTAAGCCATAATCAACAAAATTACAAGAAGTAAAGGCTTGAACTATTTATATGTGTAATGACTATATGATATGAGCTTCATATTCTGAAATGATGACAAAACAGTTTAACTTTTTCACAATATTCAAATTTTTATAGATGCACCTGCACAGAAACAATGCAATGTGCATCTTGAAGGGGATTACTGTGAGATTAAAAAAATGCTTTGGTTCATTTGAATTTCCAAGTACGCAGAATGTACTGCACATTTCTGAAGTTTATTTAAATTTTATATCCATCTGTGCAAGTTGTTTATTTCATAAGTATCACTGCTGAGCTTTCCAAAACGGAAAAAATAAATAAAATAAAATACCCCCATTTTTTTTCGGTGGTCACACTCAGGAACAGTTTCAAAAGAACTGACATAAAGAAACCTAATGATGAGCTTTTGTTAGAGAATTATCAATGCTTCTCAGATAATTTACAGTAAAAAAAAAAATCATTAGAAAAAGGCATAAAGTGATTTAAAACATTTCAAATTCTACAACACAAACTTGGCTCTACATCTCAAACTGAAATCCAGTTCTGTAGAGCTCACCTGCTTCTGAAATGAGTAAGAAAAAAAAGATAATGTCCGGTTTACAAAAACAAGTAACATGTTTAAGTGCTGTTCTCATCGATCCCACTAGTAATAAATCAGAGTATTTGATGCCTTGCCTTTGTTGTAACAGAGGCAACTATACTCTGTACCAAATTTTGCAAGATCAAAACGTTAGAAGCTAAAGTTATTTCCTCCTGAAATGAATTGCAAAGTAAGTGCAAAAACCTTGCACAATAAGCACAAATACTACAATAAAAGTAAAATGACGTATAAAGTGCAAAGAACGGTTTCAATAAATGCACTGGGGCTGACCGTGGTAGTCACAGAGGCAGTGTGTGAGTACTCTAAACTGCCTCTTCCCTTTTCTCCTTACTCTTTCTCTTTTAAATATTTAAAAAAATGTGCCTACACCGTTTGTGATAGAGAATGTTTGTTGTTCAGTATAGAACAAAGATGTCCAATAAAATGAGATTTATACACTCTGTTGCCCGTTATTGTTTCATGAATGCACCATTCAGACATGGCACATTTATTTTTACAGTGGCTTAAATGAAGTGAGTATTTCCTCTTTCTTCCTTTTACAACAAAACACAATTTTCCCACCAATTTCTCTGGAATCAACAGATAGATAGGTAGTAAACATTAAACATGTTTTTTTTTTCTTTCTTTTTCCTAAAATACTGCCCAAAATGAGATCAGTGCCAGCTACAGTGACAATCGTAACATCAACAATATCAGTAGAGTAAAAAAGAAATTACAATATATATATATATATATATATATTTATATATATCTCTCAATAAAAATCAAACCAGAGTATCTCTAATATGAATATATTGAACAATGTAAACCTACCCTTATCAAAGTTAGCAAATATAACACAATAAGCACATCAGTCATAATCCTCTCACAGAGAGCGCTCACATCATTGTTTCTACAACGGTGTGGGTGGGCTTGATCAAGCCATTGTTCCCGTTTGGGTCCAGGGGCTGCGTCAGCTCGCTGCACTTCAGACTGTACTCTTTCGGGCGAGAGCTCACGTCCGACTTTGCCGGAGCTGCCACTGCTTTGATTCTCTGTGGAAAGGAGATGAGGCATTAAGATGAATGGTTTTCAGGAAAAGACTCAAAATGACAGTGATAGAGTTTTAAATGACAAATGTTTGTGTTGTGTATGAGATGGGTCAGCCAAACTGTGACGGACTTATGTTAAAAGCTCTGTTTAAAGGTAGTATACGACCATGCAAAATCCACCCCTAAGTCATCTGAATATGTTCACTTTGTTGATTCTGTGCTTCTAAACCAATGAACACAAGAGCCAAAATGTTAAATTGAGGGTTAAAACACTATATACATCTAAAGTGATGCTAACATGACCATATCTGTTAAACTATGGTGCTGCTAAGCAGACAATCTAGTTACAGGTTAATCTGCTGGAACAAGTTGTATATAAAAGATGCACAGATTATAAATCTGAAAATCAAAGCCTAAACTAGTGTAAGCAATGATTCCACTAGCTGTAAAAATAAACTATAGAAAAAGCAAACAAGTTTGTTGTTCTCAGAGTTTATAGCATAAGATAATTGGTTTAAAGTATTCTTTAACAAATCCTAATGTTTTTGCAATGTTTCATTTTGCCATTTGTGGTAAATCAGACCATGAAACAGGGATTATTTTAGTTCTGGGCTACCTTATTTTGGCGACATGAACCCTTTCTTGGATTCTCTGTCTTGTCTGTTACAATTCTAGTATGGTCCAGTTAAAAAAAAACAACCTAATATGTTAAAAATCAAAATATTTTAATCATGGCTTTAAAGCTGTAGTCCAAAAATCACTGTATGATATTGTGACATATACAAGAGAGCAAAACCATTGATTTTCTTATTATTAGCGATAAATGGATGAAACAGATTTATCTGCAAGTGAACATTTTGGCAGGGAATTTAATGTGTTGGAGAAAAATAAATAAATGAGGAAGCATAAGTATTTGGATGACAGAGAAATCATAATGTTTACATGAACAGTTGAGGCATTTCTACAGGATATTCCCAGGTAGCAGTAGTCAGGAAAACTGGTGTTTTGGGTAGTTGAAGACTTGCTTGGGTTACACAAGATATCATAATAGCTATTGTAGCTGAAAAAAGTATTTAAATTTGGATGTACTCAACATTAGACATTGCGTTATGGCGTACTGTAGGTATTTTATTCAGTTTACCTCTAATAATGCTCACTGCCTGCTGACTTACTGTTGGGGATCTACTATGTGAGTATTTGGTAGTTTACAATGATTATTGTGAGCGGTCACCTCCTTGTGAGAGGCACCACTTTGTTGTCTTTAGAACAGATAGTTGAAAATCTGTCAGCTCACCTCAATCAGGGGTCCCTCAGACTGCAGGATCTTGATGACCATCACCATGGGGATGCAGATCATGGAGGCTAGAGCAAGACACCAACCCACACCAATTGCCCATTCAGGATACTCATAAACCTTGTTGTAGGTCAAGGGCCTGTACTTCACCAGAGAGAAGATGAAGCAGCCCTGTAAAACAAACACACCACATTTAGTGTAAGCTTTGCAACCCCAGTGACCTGGATGACTCGACTATTACCATTTGTCACATGTCTTCAATGACAACACCCCCCTTGCACACCCCCAGTCATCCCAATAAAGAAACACTTGCTCTCACCATGCAGAGGACAGGAGTGATTATGGTCCAGCTCCATTTCATCCATGGGTTTGGTCTGTAGCCAATCATATCCTCAACTGCGTCATAGAAATTGTCAGCTCCTATCCAACACAAACAGACAAAAAAGGTGAAGACATGCTGTTTGTGTCTGCCTGCAACAAGACACTATCTGTTTTTACTAAACATTGTTTCTTCTTACAAGCTACCTGCCACGGATACCCATGATGTTTACCATAAACTGCAGCATATTTTTCCACTGGGTCAACTTCTTTGTTTTCTACAAACAGCCATGGCTTCATTTTAGTAGCTAAAAAGTCACCTTTCCTGGCTGACTGCTGACTGAAGTCACTGAGCGTAGTCTGGAACACACCCACAGTATGAATCATGTTTATTGCTCTGTATACTCTTTCCATTTTTTATTTCTTTCTAAGTACTCATTTGAAAAGTCTTGAATAAGTTAGCAAATAGAGATAAATGGAAATGACCACAAAATGATGTACTGTTATAAACACTAAAAGAAAGCACAACTACCAAAGATTTATGATCCTCCTTCTCAGAACATTGCGTATTCAACCGAAATTAACCAACTCACAACATGTCTACTTTGACTGTTGAACAATAGAAATGCCAAAGATAAAGAAATGACTCATATTGTTTGTTTTAACCATTTGTCCTACATTAAAGTCCACGCTCAATAATCCACGCAAAAAAACCCAACAAAGTTCTGTCAGGTCATCTGGACGGTTTCTTTTTTGTTGAGATGTTTCGTCCTTCATCCAAAGGACTTCATCAGTCCGAGGAGCCACAACAAACTCCCACAAGCAGCACACTCACATAGTGGACCAACCAGTTTGCTGATGATAAGATGGTTTCTGGGGCCTTCCCTCTCCCTGCTTCAGTCAAATGACCTGACTGAAATTTGTTGGATTTTCTACCTGGATTATTGATCATGAACTTTGCTGTTTTGAACCACTTTGGCTATGGCTGCCTCAGAGGAGTAGACGGGGAGAGGGCGGGCCCATAAACCATCTTATCACCATCAAACTGGTTGGTCCACAATGTGTGTGCTGCTTGTGGGACTCAGTTTGTTGTGGCTCCTCAGACTGATGAAGTCCTTTGGATGAAGGACGAAATGTCTCAACAAAAAAACAGAAACCGTCCAAAGAACCTGACTGAACTTTATTGCATTTGCCCTGCAATTCATTTTCTTAGGGTCTTAGGGAAGTCAAATACTTAAAACATTCACAAATTAATGATACCCATAATTTAAACTTAATAAACGATTACAAATGAGTGTAAAAACACATTTCAAACTGAAGTCTGGCTCTTTGGAGCTCCATTTGGACACTTTTTGCTTTGAGGTTGGAAGCCAGAGATCAGGAACAGAGCTTCCATTCAACAACATGACAAGTCACTGAAAAGAGATTCTGTGTGGTTTAACCACAACAACATTACACACACCATGCAGCATTGCTCTCATGGCATCTAAGCTTTTCTCTTTTCAGATGAGTTTTGGTTTTGCTAATAGTAAGAGGACATATTCTGCTGGGTGGCGACTCTTGAGGGCCAATCATAATAAAGCAGGAAGGGCAACTTCATTCGCTTCTCCTCCAAGTCTTAACACAACCCTGCAGTAAAACTTCTTTATTACTGACGTGTAAAACACCCTCAACCTTTGTCTACGTCAACAGAAACCCTTCCGGTCTTTTTATCTAACTCCTGTGAATCATTAGTTGTCCCGATACAGATATAGTAGTGTCCCACTTACCATAAACCCAGGCTACAGCAATGCACTCGAAGAATGCAACCCACAGAAGGCACACACCACTGGCTGCATAGTAGTCAAAGAGCTGAAACACATACATGCCACCCTGGAAAAACAAATGCAAAACATCTGACTTAATTCTCTCCTTGTGTGTGGTAAGGGGAGAAAAAATGAACAGGGATTATAAAAGGGGATATAGAGAGGGGGTGGCAGGAACTGTGAAAGTAGGACACAAGAACGCTGGCACCCAATCAATAGTTCAACAGGTGGTGAGATGTTTCTGAAGCCTGATAAACTGCTAAATGGAAAACCACGTTCCAAAATTCTTCCATTCGTGCACGTAGGTTGCTACTAATGAATGGAGTAGGAAACCATATTTAGTTGCAACAGCCCAGCAGCAAACAGGCATGTGGAAAACTGTTAGCATTATTTTTGTTGTCAATCCAAAAATGGAGTCTGTTTTTTTTTTTTTTTTACTGAAAGTAGCAAGCAAGAAAAGAGCAGCAACTCCATGAAGTGACCTTGTGACTTTGTGATGAACTTACTTTCGTCACCATGGCGAGTCCCAGGAGATAACTCATGAAACACATAACTGCTATGAAAATCTCTCTGCGGTAACCCTTCCTGAGAATGGATGGGTAGAGATCCACAATGGAGGTGATCTGTCCTTCCACTTCAACAAACTGTTGGGGAAAAAGCAACTATTAACAATGCAACGGTGCAATATGAATCTATTAACAATGCAACGGTGCAATATGAATGTTTCAGAGTGCGAGTGCAAATACGTGAAGAGAGCCATACTTAATGAGCAGTGAAGTTTATAAAAAAAATACTTTCATATTGTGGTAGTAAAATTAGGAAATTGCTTTTCGTATACAAGTTAAAAGTATTGATCCATTAAAGCAAAAGTTCAAATCTTTTGAAGCGGATAGTTGTAGATGTTTTTCTTTCAGCTACTCCCTTCTGCAGGGGTCATCACTGCACGCAAACTCACATAAATAATTTGACGATCGTTTAGGACCGGTGCTCAAACAGGCAGTCTCAAGATTACAAAATCACAGTACTTACACATCATAAAACAGCTCCAGTCTCTAAAGTTTTTATAACATTTCGTGCAAATGCTACTTGTTAAACCTTTGCACCATTGTCAGTTTCGTATTGCGCAGTTTTCCCAACAGAAATATTAAGATATGCCTGCCAGAAGTCCTCCCAGACTGCACCAGATAGCTGTTTCTGCTGCTATTTTTTCTTGAATATACCCATACTTTTCTAGGTAAATAGCCATATCATGTGAAGAAGGTGGTAATGTAAAGATTTATCAATAGTATTCTAACAAACCTCTAAAAACGTTTGAAAATTGAGCTATTTTAAGATAGTAGCTATTCACTTTGGTCATTGCCCTGCTCATATAAGCTGTTAGCTCATCATTCCAGTCAAAAGTACACCATTTCTAGAAACTAAAGCTGTAAAGTCAAGTGTAGAAAGACAGAACATGTGTACGAATGAAAGAGAGGCCGGTGGAACAGTGAGGCTACAAGGAGCAGAGGTCACAAAGGTGCAGGACTTTAAGTACTTGGGGTCCAATATCCAAGAAAATGAGGAGTGTGATAAAGAGGTGAAAAAGAGAGTCCAGGCAGGATGGGGAACGGTTTCAGGTGGGATTTGTGACAAAAGGGTGGCAGCAAAGGTCAAAGGAAAAGTTTACAAGAGATTAGTGGGACCAGCTATGATGTATGGTCTGGAGACAGTGGCGTTGACAGAAAGACAGAAAAAAGAACTGGAAGTGGCAGAACTGAAGAAGTTAAGGTTCTCCTTAGGAGTGACAAGGATGGATAAGAGTAGGAATGAGCTCATCAGAGGTACAGCACAGGTTGAACAACTGGGAGATAAAGTTAGAGAGACCAGACTGAGATGGTTTGGACATGTCCAGAGGAGGGACAGTGGGTATATTGGTAGAAGGATGTTAGAAATGCAGCTGCCAGGAAGAAGACAAAGAGGAAGAGGATGTCAGTCTGTGCGTTTTTGGTTATTTTAGTTTATTTCTCCTTATGGTTTATATTATTCTGTTCCTTGTGTTTTGACTTCAGCCCCCTGTGTTCTCTGTCAGATCTCATCTCCACCCTCAGTCATTCTCTCATATTTCTTCTCAGTCACCTTTCCACTCACACCTGTTCCACATGATTAATCACTCAGGTGCTGCCACATTCCACTTTTCCTCAGTCTCTGTTAAAACTACTTCTGATCACCATTTCACCATCGGCTCATAGTCTTGTCTCCCTGCAAGATGTCTCTGTCTTTCCTCTCAGGTTCCCCAGTGATATTTTTCTCTCTCTCTCATATTTTTTATGTAAGTTATTTGCTGCCACGTCAGCCCTTTGTTTCATTTTGTTATTTAAATGAATAAGTTTTATTTCAATTATACTTTAAGCTCCTCTTGTCTGCCTGCATCCTGGGTCCTAATCCTCAACTGACCGTGACAGAGGAGATGTTTGGATGCAGTTAGAGAGGACATAGAGATGGAGTGAGGACATAGGATGCAGAGGACAGAGTGAGATGGAGGAGGATGACTCGCTGTGGCGACCCCTGAAGAGGGAAAAGCCAAAAGTAGATTTAATTGTTCATATATAAACCAATATGTCAAAGGATTTGAACCATTGCTCTAAAATATGCTCATTTCTAGCACAATAACAAATTAAATGGACCTTTCTGTGCATGTGAAAATGACGTTAACAATACTTAACAGGTCAGGTCAACAAATCTGTGACATTTATACTTAAGAAATGCATCCACACACAAACACACACATGCAATGTCCTCATTTCTCTCAGGGAAATAGCTTCACTTGCATGAAAATTTACATGTACTCAAATTTAGATCGTCGGCCTGATCTTACTCTTGGCTGCAATGGGAAGGTGGCCGTGTGCAGGACTGGTTTAGTGCAAGAGTAGAATTACACTTGGAAGCAGGAAATGTGATACAGAATCCCACGGGTGCTTGTTCGCGTTTTGTCAACTTAGATTGTCTCGTCTTAATCAAAGCTCTGCCTCGTATCAAAGATGGTCAGCTTGGATTTAGGCTATTATAATGAGCTTTGCACAACAAAATGTTTGGCAAACATTAATCAGGTTTTAAAAAGGATTAATTTATGACACAACCGGTCATTAAACCTGCTTCAATCCTCACAGTGTGTTTATAAAATGCCTTTGTGGAAACAGATTGCTGTTAATATTTGTCAGTCATCAGACACTCCGAGCGTGTTAGGGATGATTCAGAGACGCTGTATGTGATCTGGGAGTTTCAGAGGTGGTAAGAAAAAAACCTGACCTGACTGTCCAGGCCCAGAAGCAGTAGCATGATGAAAAAGAGGATGGCCCACAGGGTTGGCAGTGGCATCATGGATACAGCTTTAGGGTAGGCGATGAAGGCCAAGCCAGGACCTGGAGAGAGAACAGAAAGGGAGGTGGGGAGAAGGGAACAAGGATATGATTAACACTTCTATCTGGTTTCAGGTTGGATGACAAACACAGGAGATAAGAAAAATATGTCTAGTAAATCTGAGGAGGTGTATATAATTGACTGGAGCTGAAACAGAGATTTAAATCATTTTAACTTTACTTTATGTTGGCCATAATTATCAGAAACTATTAAACAAAACGTATTGCTTGCAGGGTTTTTAAATGCTAAATGTGTCCTTGTATTTGTTAATCTGCAGGACAAATTAAAAATATATATATATAATTTCAAATACAGTATAACTTTAGGAAACATCTCTACTGCACATGTTTCTTATTGTCTGTTCAAATTGTATCATGGAAGTAAATTGACATATCATAGGAGTCTTCCTTCTGCTCAGCATCACAGAATTACTGTTCAGTTTGAACATTACTTTACCTTTAAGTACTTTTTTATGTACTTACTGTGGCCCATGAGAATATTCTAAAACATGTCTAGCACAACTAAACAAACCATTTCAACAGCATATAACACATACATCATGCACAGTCAGCAATTAAATCACAGTTGCACAGTTAAGCAAATGCAAGTCAGCTCTCCCAAAAAATATTCATACTTTAAAAGTTCTTAACTTTGTGTCAAATGTGACTAAATGCATCACTAATTTACTGCTGTATTCATTAAAGTGTCAATCAATGATTGAAATGGTAATTGTGATTATAAGCAAGAAAATTCAAGTTGAACAAAGTCCACAAAAATGAAACATTAAAAAACAAAAAGACAGCAACAAAACCACAGTAGAGCAACAGCAAGTGAACAGAACTGGGTTACAGTGCAGTGCTGCTGGTCAGAAATATTTCCTCAGGCTGCACATTCACATGTTCACTTTTAAGCCATGGGTCAAATCATCTTCAATGTGGTTCTGTGAAAAGGCTTCAAATAATCAATATCTTACCTGTTGTAGATAGCACTTTGAATGACCAAACTGATGAGCTAACAGCTAGTTCAAGCAAAGTCAAGGCCAAACTGGATTGATGTTTTTAATACAACTTCAACAGTTTATGTCAATGCTATTTTATTAATTTTTACATCATCAATAATTTACAAATTCCATGGTCATGCCAGCAGAAATATTATATTCCTGCTGGAGGAGCTGCTTTAGGCCTATGTAGTATTTTGCTTCATTCAGATTAGCCATTAGCTTCTCCGTCAGTTGAGAAATCATTCCCATTTATTAAAAATGAGGTAGTTCAAAGATCTGCCACAACAGGTAAAATATTAAAATCTCATAACCTTTCAAGAGAACTGCACATCACAATGTTCCAACATCCCTAAATACATCCAGTCAGTCCTCTCAGCATTGTCCTCTGGTCAGAAGGATGCAGAGCTACTGAACTGTGGGAGCAGGCTGAATGTGAGACACGTTGATGATGGCCCAAAAACTGGAGCTCCTTAGCGCAGCAGATCATTGTGTAGCTAAAACACACAGTGTTTGGCCAATGCAATGAAATCTGTCCGTAGAAAACAGGAAAACATGGTTCAGACTTGTTTTGAGGGTTTTGTTCAAGGAGTGTGCAATTGCCGATAGTTGGACTTTTCAACTTCACTTCTTACGGTACCTTACTTACGGTTACTTTTCTTATCGCCTGTAAGCTCTCTAAAGATTTTTACATTTCCAATTGTTGTTTTCGTTTTTTTGTTTTGAACAGCAGTGCCCACCATCACTGCTGCCATCACCTTGGACCCTCGTACCTGACTCTGCCACATCGGCAATGTCCACCCCTTGTTCTTGTGCCATGAAGCCCAGGACGGAAAATATTGCGAAGCCAGACACAAAACTGGTACCGCTGTTGAGGCCTCCCAGCAGCAAACAGTCCCTATGTCACACATATGTCATGGAGGTTGTTAATGAACACAGGTGGAACCGAAGTTCCCATTTTCTTTTCACGCAACCGTCTCTGACACGAGTTGCTCTCACTATTACAGTCCCACCCCTCCCCGCGGAAACACAACTAACCTGTAGCAGTTGTACTTGTACTTGTTGTAGCTCCCCAGCGATGTCATGGCTCCCAGGCAAATTGCATAGGAAAAGAAAATCTGGGTTCCTGCATCAATCCAAACCTAAGGAGGCAGAAATAATCCCTGTCGTGAAAATGTGCAGGGAGTTAAGCTAACCAGACCTGATTCTTTAAGCGTTGATAGCAAACATTAGATTGAAGCTTTACTAGGTAATCTCTGGGTCACGTAAGAGCAGGACAAATAGGCTGTAAAGACATCAGTGTCATAAAACATTTAAGCTGATTTATTTCATCCATCCATCCATTTTCTTGCGCTTATCTGGGGTCGGGTCGCGGGGGGTACTAGCCTAAGTAGGGAGGCCCAGACTTTCCTCTCCCCAGCCATTTGGACCAGCTCCTCCGGGGGCATCCCAAGGTGTTCCCAGGCCAGCTGAGAAACATAGTCCTCCAGCGTGTCCTGGGTCTTCCTCTGGGTCTCCTCCCAGTAGGACGTGTCTGGAACACCTCACCAGGGAGGCGTCCAGGAGGCATCCTAACCAGATGCCCGAGCCACCTCAACTGGCTCCTCTCGACATGGAGAAGCAGCAGCTCTACTCTGAGTTCCTCCCGGACGATCGAGCTTCTCACCCTGTCTCTAAGGGAGAGCCCAGACCCCCTTCGGAGAAAACTCATTTTGGCCGCTTGTATACGAGACCTCGTTCTTTCAGTCACAACCCAAAGCTCATGACCATAGATTAGGGTAGGAACATAGATTGACCAGTAAATTGAGAGCTTCGCCTTTTGACTCAGCTCTATCTTCACCACGACAGACCGGTACAGCACCCACTTCACTGCAGACGCTGCACCTATCTGCCTATCAATCTCACGCTCCATTTTTCCCTCATTCATGAACAAGACCCCAAGATACTTAAACTTCTCCACTTGAGGCAGGACCTCCTCCCCGACCTGGAGAGAGCACTCTACCCTTCTCCGGCTCAAGACCATGGCCTCGGATTTGGAGGAACTGATCCTCATCCTGGTCGCGTCACACTCGGCTGCGAACTGCTCCAGCAAAAGCTGTAGATCACGACCTGATCAAGCCAATAGGACCACATCATCTGCGAAAAACAGAGAAGCGATCCTAAGGTCCCTAAAACGGATCCCCTCAACACCTTATCTGCGCCTAGAAATTCTTTCCATAAAAGTTATGAACAAAATCGTGACAAAGGGCAACCTTGGCGGAGTCCAACTGTCACTGGGAACGAGCCCGACTTACTGCCGGCAATGTGGACCAAGCCCTGACACCGGTCATACAGGGACCTAACAGCCAGTACTAAAGGGCCTGGTACCCCATACTGCATTCTAAATGCTAAAGAATAATAATAATAATTTAATTGAAGATAGAATACAGGAAACCAAAACAAACTGAAGCTAGAGCACAATAAACTTTTGTAAAAACAAATAATTTAAAATTAATTGTTTAATTAACAGAGAACCCCATTGTAGTCTAAAATGTTCAAAGAAAAATCATTTCTGATAATTTGAAGTATTGTTTATGGCCCATCATTTTTCTAATTTCAATAGAGAGCATTATTCAACATTTAAGAATAGCCAGTGTAAAAACAGAAGCTGTAGGAATCTGAAATGAATCTGCTAAACAGCTGAGTTTGTTTGTATAATTTCTGAAATGATGAAATAAATAAATCACTTTTAGTTTAGCTCATCTGTAACTCGTAAATATTTTATGCTACCTTCTGTCCACAATAGTTGAAACACTGAAAACTCATAAATAAAGCCAACTTAAAAATAAAACTAAATAAATAACTTGTTTCTTTAAGGTAGCTACTAAGATTCATCTCTTAAAGCTTTTTTCTTTCCACAGAGCATGGACATTTTTACAGTTACCGATGTGTGTTCGTAAACTCTGGCACCACGTGTTCCAACAGACTCACAGCTACTTCAGGTATTCAAGGTAGATTTTAAAATTGAATGTTTTGGTCCTTTACACCTGTTTTTATTGACTTGTTTAAACAAACGTATTTATTAACTATAGTATTATTGGTATTTTACGTTACGAGGGTGAAATGCTCTCAATGTTGCTGGGATTCAGAATGAGCACAGCTGAAGGTAGATAAGATATAAACATGTTTAAACTGCAGTAAATTATATCAAACGTATCAAAGAGCCAGAAGAAGTCATGAATATTTATATTTTCTCAATTTGTACACATCCTTTATGATTATCTATTGTTGTCTTGTTGTGCCACTGTTCTCATTACTTTGTTAAAATCAGGTCTCTCTTGTAAATGAGTCTCTGAGGCTCAATGGGATTAACTTGCATAAATAAAGGTTGAATGAATGAATATATCTAGACCACAATGCAAAATACTGACTTTGAGCATGTCGATCTGTAAAAAGGTCATTCATGTATATATTCATGTATTCATAGCTAACATTAGCTTAGAAGCTAAGTCATCATTAACAAACTAAATTAAACTGATTAAACACAAAAAGGCTTATTCTGGAAAATAGCATAGTAAGGTTGAGTACAAATCTGAAAAAGCACATTTTTTGTTTACATGTCTTTCTGTTCTTTAGTCAAAATCTCACTTGACGATAATTGTTGTGAGAAAATGCAAAAAATGTGAGATAATATCGCGAAGCTTTGGCAGTCAGTGACACCAAATTGTGGCTGACCTGAGACAAACCAGTTGAGAAGCCACAATTTCGGTTGCTATTTTTTTTTAGAATAAAAAATAACTAACAGACAAGACATGTGACTAAAATGCCACAAAAATGTGTTTGTCATTCACAGGAATATGTCCGTTTTTTTGCAGTTAGATATGCAAGCAAATGTGCTGCAAGTATCAGTTTAGTGCGTTTCCAAGTGAAAATGAGAGAAATTTCCTTTCATGGGAAAATGCAGCTGTGAATACTTATTGTAGAAGAGCATGCTGAAAAATAGCTGAAATTAGCTTAAAAAATATACTGAAATGTAGCTGAAATGGAAGGACACGCCCAAATTAGCAGAAGAAAGCAGAAAAAAAAACATATTTGCTGAATTACAAACCGGATTCCAAAAAAGTTGGGACACTAAACAAATTGTGAATAAAAACTGAATGCAATGATGTGGAGGAGCCAACATCTAATATTTTATTCAGAATAGAACACAAATCACAGCTCAAAAGTTTAAACTGAGACAATGTATCATTTTAAGGGAAAAATCTGTTGTTTCCAAATTTCATGGCGTCAACAAATCCCAAAAAAGTTGGGACAAGTTCATTTTTACCACTGTGTGGCATCCCCCCCTTCTTCTTACAACACTCAACAGACGTCTGGGGACAGAGGAGACCAGTTTCTCAAGTTTAGAAATAGGAATGCTCTCCCATTCATGTCTAATACAGGCCTCTAACTGTTCAATCGTCTTGGGCCTTCTTTGTCGCACCTTCCTCTTTATGATGCGCCAAATGTTCTCTATAGGTGAAAGATCTGGACTGCAGGCTGGCCATTTCAGTACCCGGATCCTTCTCCTACGTAGCCATGATGTTGTGATTGCTGCAGAATGTGGTCTGGCATTATTGTGTTGAAAAATGCAGGGTCTTCCCTGAAAGAGATGACGTCTAGATGGAGCATATGTTGTTCTAGAACCTGAACATAGTTCTCTGCATTAATGGTGCCTTTCCAGACATGCAAGCTGCCCATGCCACAAGCGCTCATGCAACCATCAGTGATGCAGGCTTTTGAACGGAGCGTTGATAACAACTTGGGCTATCCTTGTCCTCTCTGGTCCGGATGACATGGCGTCCCAGTGTTCCATAAAGAACTTCAAACCATGACTCATCTGACCACAGAACAGTCTTCCATTTTGCCACACTCCATTTTAAATGACCCCTGGCCCAGTACAAACGTCTGAGCTTGTGGAGCTTGCTTAGAAATGGCTTCCTCTTTGCACTGTAGAGTTTCAGCTGGCAACGGCGGATGGCACGGTGGATTGTGTTCACTGACAAGGCTTTCTGGAAGTATTCCTGAGCCCATTCTGTTATTTCCTTGACAGTGGCATTCCTGTTTGAGGTGCAGTGACGTTTAAGGGCCCGGAGATCACGAGCATCCAGTAGAGTTTTACGGCCTTGACCCTTACGCACAGCGATTGTTCCAGATTCTCTGAATCTTTTGATGATGTTATGCACAGTTGATGATGATAACTTAAAAGTCTTTGCTATTTTATGCTGGGTAACACCATTCTGGTATTGCTGCACTATCTTTCTGCACAACAATGGTGGAATTGGTGATCCTCTTACCATCTTGGCTTCTGAGAGACACTGACACTCTGAGAAGCTCTTTTTATACCCAATCATGTTGTCAATTGACCTAATTAGTGTTAATTGGTCTTCCAGCTGTTCATTATATGCTCAATTTCCTTTTGCCAACCACTTATTGCTACTTGTCCCAACTTTTTTGGGATTTGTTGACACTGTGAAATTTTGAATCAACATATTTTTCCTTTAAAATGTTACATTTACTCAGATTAAACTTTTGATCTGTCATCTATGTTATATTACGAATAAAATATTGACATTTGCCATCTCCACATCATTGCATTCGGTTTTTATTCACAATTTGTTTAGTGTCCCAACTTTTTTGGAATCCGATTTGTAGGTTTAAATAAGCAGAAATGAGCACAAAATTAGAAAAATAGCTAAAAAGATGACATTAACAAAAAAAAAAAGAATAGCTGCAAAATAGTTGAATAGTCATAAAGAAGCTTAAACTACCAGACGGAAGTGGAAAAAACTGAAACAAGCTAAAAAAATGTGTTTTTAAAAAGTGGAGTTAGCCGGAAAAAGCTAAAATTAGCATAAAACAGCTAAATAGTAGCTGAAATAGCAGAAAAAGCTGAAATTAGCAGAAAAAAGCTGAAAGGAGTATAACAATCTGAAATTAGCATAAAAAAGTTAATTAGGTTGAAAGTTTCAGAAATTACCAGAAAAAAATGGAATTTGTCTGAAAACAGCTGAAATTAGCTACAAAACTCGAAAAGGCTGAAAAGGTAGAACAATCTTAAATTAGCAGAAGAAAGCAGAAAAGACATGTGTGGCCAATTAGGCTGAAAGAAGCAGAAATGAGCACAAAAAAGTGAAAATTATCTCATAAAAGCAGAAATGAACAAAACACCAGCAAGTATCAATTTATTGTGACTCCAAGTGAAAATTTGCTTCTTCTTTTTGTTGCCATCTTGTGTTTTCACGTCATTATCAGTCACAACTCTGTAAGTTTTACATCCTTATTTATTCAAAAACAGCTTCTCTGATCTGACTTTCTGTTTGTTTTTGCTTCTTGTTCTTGTTTCTTCACATCAGTATTATGTTTTTTGATCACTACTTACTTGTGTTAACTAGTCGCCTAAACATACCTATATGTGCTCATTTTGTTTATTGTATTATTTTCTTAGCAGCTCCTTACTTTGTGCCCTTGTTGTGCTTTTTTAATGTATTTTGTGTCTGGACATCATTTGGTCCCTGCTGCTGAGTTGTGTTTTGTTTCTAAGAGTTTCGTTAAAGCTCTTTTATCTCCTGCCTGTTGTTTCAGTTCATGTTCAGCTTCTAATTAGCTGCAGACAGGATGGAGTCAGAAGTTCACTTAATGCTGCCAGTGCCATTCAAGATGTTTTTTTGTTTTTTTTTATGAAAGTCATGCTTAAATCTGTGTGATGTGGAAGTGAAAGCAGGAGGAATTCAATAATTGTGAGCTCTGCAGATCCAGTTGTTTCCTGAGATTAGGCAGCAATGAGTCATCGTGACATTGCTTGTAACTTGTTCATTCGAAAGTTTAGTTGTTACTTTTCACATAACTTTTTACTGAAAAGGTAATTTCCTTTGCTTTTGCATGGATGTAAAATAAGTGGGATTATTGAACCTACCTCTGGATCCTGGAGACGAGTTAGGTCAGGGTAAAGATAAAATTTGATCCCTTCAGCTGCTCCAGGTAGAGTCACGCCACGCACCAACAGTATGATTAACATCACAAATGGAAACGTTGCGGTCACATACACAACCTGGACAAAACAAAATTTATTATTAGCTAAAACAAAATTGAGCAAACAAAACAAATGAAAATAGGCCCAGACACAGTGAAATAAAGAGAAACAATCTGTAGTTGCTATTATAATTGAATGCTAAAATAATGTTCTTATGTGTTAACCATTTCCCTCCATTCAAAGTTCACTGTTTCAGACTTGTGGGATGAATGGACGGTGATGCAATTAGGTCCCGTGGAAGCGTTTCACTTCCTGAACTGCTGCCTGGTTAAACATTAAACCATTTTAAGGCGCTCCTGTCACTGAACTGTACGTTCCATTAAGAGAATTAAACGCACAAATAGCATGTAATAGAGTTAATCATTGTTTTCAGAGTGGTTCCTGTCGACTCTGACCCAGTTTCTGTTCGGCTAACAGAAACAAACATATGGCAAAGCACACATGTGTCTGACTGACCGAGGAGGAACATTCAGGAAAACCAAAAGCTGCGATCCTAAATTGCAAGAACTGAAATTGTTTCGAATCCTGTTAGTTCTCCCGGAGCAGCAGTGTTTTGTCAGTGGCAACACAATAACTACCGGACGTGCACGTCACACTCACTTTTCCTGTGGACTTGACTCCTTTCCAAATGCAGAAGAAGCAAATAATCCACATGACCAGGAGACACAGGGCTAAATCCCACTTCAGGGGTCCGATGTCCTCAATCCCAGTGGAGATGCTCAGGACGTTGCGTCTGAAGAGATACCAAGGGTTATAAATGGTTACCAGCAGTTAACCAACCATTGTGTTAGGTGAGACTGGAACTTTAAAAATGTTTTATTCTCTTTATATAACTCTCATTTACTTTTCTTATGTTGAAGTTTTAGATTTAAATAGGAAATCTATGACTTTCTAAATCATATGTGTCAAACTCAAGGCCTGGAGGCCGAATGTGGCCCTCGTTGCCATCTTATCTGGCCCCCAAGATGATATATGAAATGTAAAATACTTCTATCTCTTTAATTTTATCAGTAATCTTTGATTATAATGTTGAAAGCACAACAGAGAACATAAAATGAGACCAACCAAACTCTTGTTGAGAAACTTGTAACCAAGAAAAGATGTTGAATATCTGATTTGAGTTAGTGTGGTTTTTGAAATTGGCCCTTAGTTTGAAAAAGGTTTCAATGTAGGCCCCCATTTGTAAGAGAGTTTGACACCCCTGTTCTAGATGGTGTTTTATTTCAATCCTATGATGTAAGTTAAACTTTGAGCATAAACATTGCAGTGTGGATAACGTTTAAAATAAATCCACAGAAATGGGGAACTTTTGCAAAAATAAGAATGGATCCTGCCTGGCCAAACTTGTTTACTCAAGCCAGATAAAGAGCCAGTGTTAGTTTTAGTCTATTCACGTGTGTCAGTGAATACTCACTCCCAGAACTCTGTGACAGGGGAAGTAAAGTTGGTAGCGTTGGCTGCCATCCAGAGGGTCTTGTTCCTGCGGACTGTGTCCTCGATGCAGTTCTCCGTGTTCCAGGGTTGGTTGCATTTTGCCCAAGGGAGCTCGGGCTGAAAGCATTGAAAGAGGTAGTAGAGTCCCCAGGCCAAGATCACGATGTAGTAGACGTTCAGAAGAGATACGATCACAATGGAAGCATAGCCGATACCTGCACACAGTTTGAGGGGGAGGGAATGATTAAACAACAGCTCTTTGGGGCAACTTTTAAACCTGCATTTTAATTAGAGTTCATTATTTCACATCTGTCTATTTACCCATCCACAAATATGGAGCAACCCATACTTGGGGTCATGTTTCTGACTATTTAATCAATTAAAACAGATAGTCTGCTTCTGAGTGATCGATTGCTCAGGAGTCAACCATACTTTCTACATGCTCCAATATGTTTCCAGAAAGTTGCCAACATTGCCTGTTAGTCATTTATCTTTGGTGGTTAAAGACCACAAAGTTTCCTGCAGGGTAAATCAAATATGAATAAACTAGCATGATTTAAAGAAATGCACATCACCCTCCACTCCGCATGCCAAACATTTAAGCAAAGATCTAATGTGTTAGCACTCAGTGTGTTGGGAATGACTCTCAGCTACTACCACACCAAACGCTGGCTCTGTTTGGATGGGGGCCGAGATGGTGTAGAGGCAGGGCAGCCGGCTTGGGACCCGAAAGTCCCAGGTTCGATCCCCAGTCACTGCACATCACGTGGCGTCTCTGGGCAGCACGCCTCACCCCCAAAATGCCCCCCGGGCGCTTTCAATAGCTGCCCACTGCACCACCTGGTGGTGGATGGGTTAAATGCAGAGACTAATTTCGCCATTGTATGGAAACATACAGTGCTGACATTGTGATGACATTATTATTATTATATGCTAGGCGTTTCTATGGTGGCCATCTTGGATCACCTTTCATGGTGGCGCAGACAGACAAGTGTAACAAATGAAACGTCAAGGTGACCTGCAGATAATAGCCTGCTAAGCTGTTACTACAAAGAGCTCCTTTTACATAAAATTACCAACATATATTTTATTTTGAGTATAAATACCAATTATACATCTTTCTGACTATCAATGTATTCGCTGCACTTCTTGCTTCAGTACTCAGAGGTAAGCCTGTTTTAAACTATGCTATCAGGTAAAAGCAAAGGGGAAGTTTCCAAGGTTGCCTGAATTTTGATCTGCTTCGTGGACTCTAATGTCCTCACTGTATTTATTATTATTAGATGACTTTGTCCTGAACCTGAACACACAAATCTCATGTACTCTTCCACCACTTCAGAGTATTTTTAAACTTATCATGTATGTCACGCCCCCACCTTCTCATTCCCACGTTCCAAATGCAAACTGACCAACACATTTGTGCTGTGACAGCTGTGTGTGTATATGTGTGTGTGTGTGTGTGTGTGTTTTTGCTTGACTGTGAACCGACAAGCTGTGAGTGAAGTTATAGATTCCCCATGTGACAAAGAAAAAAACAAAGACTGTTTTGGAGATGTGTAGTGGCCCAGTTTATGGACCTTATGCATGCAGTAAATGAAAGCAACAACTTCTACACTACAAAGACACCTGGCAGCTATTAAAGCTAAAGTTCAACAAAAAAATCTATATTTTTTACGTGATTTCCTCTGTGTGAACATAAGTAAAGGTGGAGTATTTATAATCTCCCATTAGCTAAAGAAATTGGGAAAACCAGCATAACAAAATATGGAAAAAGTGTCTTATCTAAATTGCTCTACATCACAATGGCATTTTTCATCATAATTTGTTTCCGTGGCAACCAATTAAGTAGATTACAAACATTTGCATTCTCTGGCCGAAGCTGAATCTTTTTCAAAGTGGTTCCCAGTGGGGTTCATGAAACACCAAGTGGTCTTAAGATTGTCTTTAAAAATATAGAAATGATTGTTAAATACGTATTTTACCCCATATTTGTAGATAAAACAAGTCAGCTGTCATAGATGGATAAAAACAAGATGGTTGTTGAAGCTATCTGTTTGGCCATTATGTCCCCATTTGATTTACTCACATTTGTATACATCAACCAACAACTGCCATTATTTTTGTTGGTCAGAAGCTGAAAAGTTTGGTAAACCCTCCTTTATCAACCTATACAAACATAAATGATCTTCTAAGATAATTACTCAACAGAAAGTAGACTGCTGAAGTTAGAATGATCCAACTAAACTTTGGGGAGGAGAGTACACCCCCTGCAGAACAGAGGATAATCAGAGCAGAAGTCTTGTCCAGACAACTGATGCTTTAACGCAGCATTACAAGTCTAGTGAAGCTTCTGTCTGACTTTCTGTGCAGAGTCTCCTTGTTTCTGTGTTTGGACTGACCAGTGAAGATGGGACAGAGCTTGGCCCAGCAAGTGATCCCCCCTTCAGAGGTGTACTGGCCCAGTGCGACCTCCAGGAAGAACACGGGCAAGCCACCTCCAAACAGGAAGATGAAGTAAGGGATGAGAAATGCACCTGTAGAGATACACAACATCAGAGGATTAAGGTATCACTGTTGTCATGAAACACCCAAGAATGTGTTGTGATGTTTGCACCTACCTCCACCATTTTTATAACAAAGGTAAGGAAAGCGCCACACATTGCCTAATCCTACAAATCCTCCGGCCACAGACAGGACGAAGTCGAGCTTACTGGCCCACTTTTCCCTCTGAGGGACCTTCCCTTCAGCCTCATCCTCGGGTCGGGTACCCGGGCTTTTTCCTGGTGAAGGTTTAAGGGTGTCCTTATGGAAATCCTTCAGACACTGGAGCTTCTCTTTTTCTCTTGCCATGCTGTGGACAAAAAGGTTGAGAATAAATAAAGGTGGACATAAAATACAAGTACATGATGAAGGAGACAGAGGTGAGAGGGATAAAACACCAGACGTGGAGCAGTGTTAAGGAGATAATACTGTCCCCTGACTGCCTTACAGCTTGCTGCATGAGCACACGATAAACAGTACAATGCAGGTAATCTTGTTAATCTGGAGGACTGATGGATAGAGGTCATCCAGATTAAACGTTGAGGAAGTTGGAAAAGAACAAACGTGGTTAAGAGGGTGGAAAATTACCCAAAGCTTTGTAGTTACATAAAATAAAGTGTTTAGGAAAAAAATTAAAATGTGTAATCAGCATCCAAACATCAGCGTTCCTTGTTTTCCATCTTGAAGGAACCTTCCACTCAGAAGGAGGTTACATTGTCAGTGAAGGAAAAGGAAAGGGCAGTGCTTCTGGACCTACAACACTTCTTTTTTGTAACTTTAGTCTTATAACTCATCCCAGTAAAAGTCAAGTTTAGGGAGCAAGTGCATTTTCAAAGTGGTGGCCGCTCCCAGGAAACCCCTACAGCTCAAGATTAGGTGTGTTTGCACTGTAAATAACCTTTCCTAGACAGATTTGTTATCCCACAGCAAGAGTCCAATTTCATTCACGTGACTGAACTACCTGCGTTAAGACTAGTCTCATTTTAACAGAAGCCTCTTCTGCAAAACAAAAGACTAACAGTTCTTATAATTATTATTCACAAGGTTACAATTAAAATAGATATAAAGGGATTTTTCTGCTTTTTATTAAAGTTCGCCTTAAATAGAGAACATTGAAAACTCCCCCTTAACTCGTGAATAAATTTAGACTGAGGAAGCTGGGACAAAAGAACATGTCTCTGAGGGGTTTACTTTCACAACACTTTGAAAGCTTTAACAAAGAGACAATAACTGCAAGAAAACACAATCACTTTGGGCTAACAACTACACACTTATCATCACAACAATAATAGAGTTTCCCCCTCAGATGAAAGGACACTTTGAGCAGTGTTCACTGGGAACTTGAGGTCTCCCTGGCTCACTGATGCTGTGTGCACACTGTGTCCCATCATTTTTAAGGACTTCTCTCTTTCCGTTGTGCATGACAAGTCAACTACTTTCCATTCTCAAACCCACTTACGTAACTGGATCAGTTCTCTCTCATCCTGTCTCCCTCCCTTTTCATCCCTCTCTCTCTCTCTCTCTTTTACATTCGGCTGCTCAGCTTCACCTGCCACTTGAAGCTCCCACTTTATGACACAATCCAGGAGAAGTACTAAAGAAGTACAGACATGTCTATAATAACGTCTTTCCAACGTTATAAATCACTAAAGACATTCAGACTTGTTGACATATCCTTCCTCTTTCTATTTAAGCTGTTCACAGAAATCCTTTCAGATCATCATGCTGCTTTTATTCTAAATCCATCAAAGAGGAAAATCCTGTTTGAGCGCACGCAAACATGGAAAACCAAAATTAATTCTTAAAGCGAATCAGAAAACTTACATTTCCTTCATGGCTGCAGCTATGTATAGTGTCCGTGTCCCTCAGCTGTCACCATTCCTCTGTACCGAATGCCTTTATGCAGACAGGGGTCACAAGAAGCAGAGCTGACAGCAGGGCCCGCCTCTTGGCTAAAGACAATTAAATCTAAACTGGAGATTGGACGCTGGCTCGCTGTCACACACAACTCAGGTACAACGTAGGAGACTGTAAATTTCCACTACTCTCTGCCTACAAGCACACACACACCCATGGTGGGGGGGATGAGTGCAGTGTCTCATACACACACACATGCACTTCTTGTTCATGTGCAGAGATAGAAAAACAAGTAACCGCTCCTTTACTGTGGCCTTGATTTATAATTTGGAACAGAAGGATGCAGGGAGAGTTTCTGTCTTTTTATGCATAATTGATAAAAAACAGAGAAATACAAAGTTCTTCTAATTAGCTTCTCAGAACACGGCTTCCAAGACTTTTTCTTGACAAACGATGGGATTTTTTTTTTTTTTTTGTAGATCAGATTTATTTTTAATCCACCCTGTTGCGGCATGTGTTTTGGGTATCTAAGAAATGTAAACAAGCAGAGTATGAGTTTATAACAAAGCCTAATAAGGTAAACGTGTCTCCTGTTTGAATACGGACCTCTTCTCAGGAAGCTAACACTGAAAAGACTGCTGGCAAGACACCAGGCACTTACCAACTGTTAAGTTCCTGCTCAGGACTGACGGGGCTTAATGGTTGGAAAATTCATCGGTAGACGTGTTGTCATTCCAACAACATGCACAAACACACGTTCAACTTCTCTAAGCGTTGTGCAGTTATAAAACATCATGTTTACGGCCTGCCGCAAAGCGCAATATTGTTTGTTCTCACGTCCGCATATGTGTTTGAGAGCATGTGCTGTTTGCCTGTTAGCAAAATAGGTCATGAAGCACTGCTTCATACATAGTAATCAAATATACAACTCAATAACTTTTGGAATCAACCCTCTTTAAGATGGCCATCACTGCTAATCAACCTTAGCAAGCTGAAAAATGGCTGCATTAGATAAAATTACAAATACTGAGCTAAAAGTGGTAGTAGCAGAGTCATTCGCAACACATGCTCCAAACACAAACCCTTCTCACAAAATATTGCATTGTTAGATGAGACTGTGTCATTTACAAGGTTTGAGAAGACCTTGAGGGTTTTTTACAGTGTAATATGGCGTATGGGTGAAATCAAATTAATTTGAGATCTTTTTATGTTTAATAACATAAAACTTTTAAAAAAAAAACTCATAAAACTTTGTCCAGGAGCAGCTGATTAACATTGAAAAAGCTCATATAATGTCTCAGCTACAGCTCCGAATCTCAAATGAGTTTAAAAAGGAGGCACTGTGGATGCATTCCCGTCTTCCTGCAGGCTGTGCTCAAGTGCCTGACCACTGAAATCCTGGAACTATCAGGGAACACGGCTCGTGACACCAGAAGGACCGGGATTGTCCCCTGACACCTGCAGCTGGCTGTCCGCAGCGACGAGGAGCTCGGCAGGCTGCTGGGAGGAGTGGCCATCACTCTGGGAGGAGTTAAGTTCAGCCCGGCATTTGGGTGGTCTTGCAGCTCAGGGGAACCAAGAGGCCAGCCGAGCCTGAGTGGACAGATCGGACGGCATCTGCAGCCAGTTTCTTCGGACCCACTATGGGATGGACCTTTACAAGAGATCCTTCCTGCCTACAGCCATCAGCATCTGTAACATCTTTTAATGAAACGAGGATAACGAGTTACAACATTTAATTTCCCTTTGGGATTAATAAATGATTTTTGAATTTGAATTTAAAGTTTTTAATCCGATGATATAGTGATAAGACCACAAATATGAATAACCTGGATTTTCTTTAATTTACTTACAGTTTGGTTTTATAATCAGCCATTTTCCCTGACCATTTTATATAATTTACTCTTAGAAGGATCAAACATAAAGGAGCAACATTTTCTTATCAGATACAAACTCATGAAACTGTGTTCAAAGGCTAAAGCTACTCTTTTCTTTTTTATTGCTAAAACATTTACTCAAGCTTTGTTTACGTCCGGGTTAAAACAGTTTGTTCAGAGAAATCCTTTTGGCTCCTCAATAAGAGCATGTTTGGTATTGTTAGGAGGTAAAGCTAACCAGTTGACTGGTCACAGCAAAATACTGATGTTCAGTTAAAACAAAATATATAAAAAAAAAAAAGTGTAGATCATTTGTTTCCTGTATTAGGCTGCTCATCTACTTTATTAAAGGGATAGTTCAGTATTTTTTTAGGTGAGGTTGCGTAGAGTATTTGTGAGTAATCACTGTTTTCCCTGCAGTAGACATCAGTCAGAGCCATCTCTGGAGGATAAGAGAAATGAAACTAACAGTTCTCAGAGTTCATGTCAAACGTCTCCTCACCGTGCTTGTTCTGTATATAAAATAACCAGGTCCAGTTCTAGCTCTGTTACACGCAGTTCAGTCCAATCAGACGCAAATTTCTGCCAGTTAGAACAACTCACATTCATAACATTCTCTGCAGTTTAGATAAACACTATATTTGGTACCTTTTCACCAATTACTATGTTTTTAGCAATAATGTTCATAAAGAACTTTAGCATTATAATTAAAAAAAAATTGAGTAACAAAAAGTGGAGTCATATTCACGCTAAACAAAATGGAATGCCAGGGATTGCTTTAAGGAATGCATACCGCCCGCTGCCTTTCATGCAGGAATTTTAAACAAAGCTCATCTTTTTGTTTAGAAACGACAAAGTTATGGCTGTTCAAGTCAAACTTTGAAAATAACATTAAATGCAATCTCATATCATGGCATGATACCAGTTAGGACTTGGAGTTTATGTTAGGGACGACTCTCAGCTACTACCACACCAAAATATAGCTGATCATTAGTAAAACTAAATCGGGTTGTAGCCATTTTTATGGTGGCTAAGGTCAATTAGCTGTAGTGGTCAAGAGCTTTTGAGTTGTAAATGCACATCTAATTATTTATATTATTTATTTTTAGTACGTTCGTTCACATTCATCCAGTGATTCATGACATGTTTTACTAACGCACCAGACAAACAGAACCAGGCATAATCAATATTTCCTGTCTTTCATCTTTCAGTAGTGGGCAATAACCTGGATTTTTTTTGTTGTTGTTGTATTTTAAGTAATTCAGCCTAAAACAAGAGGTAAGAAGATTGTGGTTTAAAAAAAAAGTAATGTCAGTGTCAATTCATTTATATATCACATAAAAACAACAAAGTTCTTTACAATTTAGTCAAATTAAAATGAAAACAAGAAAGAAGAACAAGAAAATACATCAATAAGAAAACACAGGAAAGTTAACAATAAAGTATGACAGACAACAAGAAAAATCAGCTATCAATTGGTTCTTAAACACTGCCTGGATCAAACACCAAGGAAAACAGACGAGTCTTAAACAAAGATTTAAAAGTCTCAACAGTCTCCAAGGTCTTTAAATGATCAGGTAAACTCTTCCACAGTTTTGGAGCAGCAACCACAAAAATCACCTCTGGACTTCAGTTTAGATCTGGGGACATCTAAGAGGAAACTGGTTGGTACATCGGAGTGCTCTTACTCTCTTACTGGAGTGTAGATGTTAATAAGATCATATACATATGATGAGGCCAGACCTTTTAAAGCTTTAAAAACAAGCAATAAATTCTTAAAATCAATCTGGAAGTGGACAGGAAGCCAGTGGAGAGAATCCAGGACTGGGGTTATGTGTTCGTGTTTTCTAGTCGCAGTTAAAAGACGAGCTGCTGCGTTCTGGGTGGTTTGTAAGTGATGTAAAGATGATTTATCTTAACCATCAAACAAAGCATTACAATAGTTCAAATGAGAGGTAATAAAAGCATAAATCACCTTTTCAAGGTCTCTGAAGGAGATAGGACTTCGCCTTGGCAATGAGTCTTAGTTGGAAGAAACTGGATTTTACAACTGCATTTATCTGTTTGTCTAATTTAAAAGCACTATCGAAAATAATCCCCAGATTCCTGACAGTGGAGTGGCTTTGTGAGGCCAAAGGGCAAAGAGTGTCAAGGGCATTACATATACCAAAGCTGATGACTTCAGCTTTATTTTCATTTAGATTCAAGAAATGTACTTTCACCCAGACTTTAGTATCGTTCAGACAGTTCAAGAGTGGTTCCAGTGGAGTGACCCAGCTTAACGGGCAGATACAACTGAATATCATCAGCAAGGTCATGAAAAGGAATGCTGTTTTCTAAAAGTGAACCCCAAAGGCAACAAGTGAAGATTAAAAAGCAAAACAAAAATACCTGGAAGAACACGTGCTGTTGTTTTTACATGTTTTTTTCTTGTATGTTTTCTTGTCACCCTCTGAAGCAACATATCAAAGTCACGTTTATCAAAGGCCTATGCACTCCTTGAGTTTAAGTCCTGGTTTCACCCCTCAGAGAACAAAAGACCTGTCAGCAATTCAACCACCATCTGATGCCTGAGTGAGACTTTAAAGGAAACAGGAAAGGGACTCAGGGGGGAAAAAATGCAAGTTTGGACTCAGTTTAACAAAAACAGCCTTGAATTGGAAATAGCTGAACACAAACTGAAAGAAAAAAAGTTCAATATCTAGATTTTTTTGTACTCTTCATTTTAAGATGCCAAAATAAATATAGTTTTTCATTAAGAAATTATGATAAATTGCTCCAAACTTAAATAGTGCTTTCATTCTTTATAAATGCTCTTTAGAGTGTCAGTAAATATGGTCATAGAGTACACATTTAAAAATCTGTGTGACACGTTTAATTGTTTTGCTCAAATCCTAATTCATGGTTTTAGGCTATTCAGGGCAATCCAACAATAGTTCCCAGATGTATACCATATGACGGGTATTTATAGACCACTACTGCATTCACTCCCAGAATCTTCGGTGGTTGTAAAGCTGTCTCCACTCTACAAAGTTACTGACGTCCTGTACTCCCTCTCCCGTCCCTAACTTATACACCCAACAGCAGCTGAATCATTAGAACATTTCTGCCGTGACTCAGAGTTATATTGAAAAACAGGGGTATAGAAGATGAACAG